TTTTCCCTTAACCCTAGGAGTGTTGTATTAGTTTATTTTATATTTTTCTTTATATTTGTCATGATCTTTATTAATATTTGAGTTTTTCGCTGTTTTTATATCATACGAATTTTTATTTAATTTACTAATAACATTTTTAACATTTTCATAATTATAGGAATTCTCTGATGTGCTAGGATTACCGGAATGTATTTCTTCAAGCTGTTTTTTAGTTTCTTGTGAAGTTCTACATACATCTATTGCTTTATTAAGTGTCAAATCCTTAATTCGTAAAAGACGATCTACAACAGAAATGTCTAAAATTCCACAAACCAGCTTATCTTTGATGAGACTTTCTGTAAGAGCTCCAAACTCACATGAAGCACTCAGGTCTCTTAACTCAATTATGTAATCTTCATACGATTCCCCTTGTTTTTGACTTCTAGTAAAAAATTTGTATCTTTCATATGTAACATTTTTTTCCGGATTAAAATGTTCTTCAAATTTTGCTATAACTTTATGAAAATTATTCTTGTCATCAGGTTTATCAAATACAAAACTATTGAATACCTTTAATCCACGGTCACCAATCGCATTCAGAAGTAGCGCTATTTTAGTTGCAGAATCTTTCTCTACATTACCAGACGCTACAATATATATTTCATATTTTTGTTTAAATAACTTCCAGTTTTCTGCCATTGACCCCATCCAGCACATTTCTGTAGGAGCAAAATTTTCCCTTAACCCTAGGAGTATTAAAACAAGAGTTAAACATCGAAAAAGTTTATTCAAAAATAAATCAGCCTTAGAAGCAGAATAAAAAGAGCTTACATCGATTATACAAATATCCAAGTGCATATTTTATTGCTTTGTCTTCAATAACAAAAAACAGGATAAAGGTAAAAAACGGATATTATAAACATAATTAGTTATAAAAAAAATTTAAACCGGTAAAATACTAATATTCTAAAATAATAATGTATTTTGAAATTTGAAGATATAGCAATAAAATATATTGTTTTTGTAAAATTCTACATACCTTGTACATACTCTTATTAGACAATACACAGACAGATGTTCCGAGTTGACAAAATCTAAACTTTCATTAGGCCCGCTGCTACGTAGGTTTTAGATTTTTACAATAACATATTATACATATGTAATATCCAATAAATTACAATTTTCGCTAGTAATTAATGTATAGAATAGAATTCAGAACATAATGGAATTGTTTTTTTTATATTTAGACAGAACATGTAGTTAAAAAATTAATATAGGTACTATCAAAAATTGTAATTTTTATTTATTAACATATCTAGCAACATTGTTTTGGTCTTTATTGACTAGGCTGACTGTAACATGACAAAGGTCATGTGGGTATTATTCCACTGTTTAATGTATACAGACAATTATAAAATACCTCTGATGTTACTAGATATGTTCTTATATATATATAATACGCGATTACAATTGATCGATGTATTAGATGATTAGTTATGTAGAAATGTTTGTTTTATACGGATAAATAAAATTGAAGTGTCCGTTTTTAATTTCAAAATAACAGCTTTTTATTAAATGCATATGAAAGTTTATATGGTACTTATAAGAAAAAAAATCGATTTTGATGGGACTTTCACTGGCAAATAGCTGATGTTATAAAGAGTAACTTAGACTACTTTAAAAAAATAAACACGTGAAATTGTGATCCGCGTACCTAGGCAGGTGCTTACCGCGTCCCGCCTAAGGTGCGTTCACCTTGTCGTGGCGCGGGGTGTCTCAGTAGGGCGCGAAGCTCAGAAACGCACAGGGAGGTGGCCCACTTCGGTGGGCGTTGTACCATGCGGGTTGCTCCTGGTACTTCTCTATAGCAGAGTAGACCGTTGAGCAACCCCATGGTTATTGTGGTCTGCTTCGGCAGACCTGCCGTCGGGGCATCGTAGTTGAGTGCGTAAACGATCCTGCGACGTCCCATTAAGACGGGTGAAGGTTTTGTTGGGTTTTAGTAGGTAGTACTGGCTTATCGAGCCGGTGAGTCACACATAACCACCTTATGTCTACAGGTGGTTATGTGGGTGTGTGTAATGCATTTCCCAATATAAAAAAAAAGGAAAGTGCGTACCGTGTACGCACTCGTACAAAGGCTTAAAGCCTTAGTTTTATGATTAGGCAAAATTAATTTGTATACACTCTCTATTTCAAAAGATCAATTGTAATCTTTAAATAAACACTTCACAACACCTATCTACATCTACTTACATTTATAAAGAGATCTGAAAATATAAAATGAATAAAAATAGATGTCAGAAATCTGTAGTCGACTATGTATGAATTGGTCTGTGATTATTTTTACTATGATATGATATTGATTGAGACGTAGCGCCAAAACATTATATATATATTTATATTTTTGAAGTCAAAACTTCTTTAAGCAGGTGTCGATGGGGAGTAAATTCATGTAAGTCGTCATCGACATGGTCACGTGACGTGTTAACGCTAACACTCAGAGCACCGATAGATGTCAAAACCAGATAAATGTAAACAGTTTTAATTTACAAATTTTAATTTACGATCAAACAATTAATATGAATATCCAAAAATAATAACTGTTTGTTTATAGTTTTAAGTTTTCACTTCTGTCGGCTGTCCATATGACTGCGTTTTTTTATAACCGTTTTCTTATTAATGTAAAATTGACTACAGAACTTCTTGCAAATGATATTTATACAATTGAAAAAAATATCACCAGTCGACATTTTGTGAAGAGTGTTTATTTATTGTAACGCCATATCGATTTTTTATTACTACTGTAGAATTTTTAATCTAAATACAGCCAAAACAGTCTTTTTAATATGAAAAATGAAGTCGACTGATGATTGAAGAAGATAATACACACACTTACACTAACATTAATTTTAAATTAATAAAATCGCAACGAAAATTACAATAAGTGACAAAGCACATACCAGCTTGAAACTTCGCTCGTTACATTTCCGACATCGTTGCTCTTATTTAAGTTTAAGTATAATGCATGTTATACATTTAATTATTTATTTCATTTTTTTAACAAAATCACAAATGTCAAATAATATTTAAGTTAGTTTAAACCTTAACTATAGATATCAGTTAATAAAACCGAGTAATCTTCTCAATTCAATATTCCAAGATAGATTTTGGAAGGCGGTCCAGATGAGTGTTGAGAACACTATTTAAGATGTACTTTTATATACTTTATGAGTTATAAATTAATACCCATGACTTAAAATTAACAAATTCTATTCTTATTTTTAATTTAATATTATATATAGTTTAATTATATAAACAAAAAAATAGTATCGATACATGTTTAGATATTATTAATCACAAATAGGTCCAATTGTCAATACACATTATTTAAAATTATCAACATTAGTTCTAACTTAAAATAAATATTACAGGAGCGGTTATCATACTTAATAATTATAATACGCCTAATATATATATATATATATATATACATAAATATATACATACATACTAAATCCATTCTATACAAGTTCCTTTCCATATAGCCTATGCCTAGATAAAATCTTGATACTCTCGTAACATCGAAACTCCTATAAAAACTTATTTTTATCATTGTTTTAGTAACTTAAATTATGTTTTTGAGTAATATTTTCGCCAAAACTTAAAAATAATATAACGTAATGACTTCAGATTAAAGCATCATACCTAGATCATATATTAGAAAAAAAAATTTTTTTATAATACTTAAATTTTGATACAATTAAAGGAATGTTATGTAATGCCAGTGTATGGTTTATACGCTTATTTCGCTTTAATATCACAAACAGCTATCTTGGACCTTCATGTCCTTATAAGGAAATTGTTTAACTCTAATATACAAATAATAGAATGTAGCAACCCTTCGATCCCGCTTTAAACGTAGTATATAGACATTTATATTTAAAAAGCATCAACATAATTTTGCGATAAACAAAAAGTTAGCCACAATAAACAATTACACGGATACATTATTCTGTACCGTTGTATCTGGGAACTGCAGACTCTGAAAATAAAAATTACCATTATTACCTATATATATTGCATGTTCTTAATTTGATATTGAATATACATACTATGATATTATTATCATAATTTTTTTTATTATTATTAATAAAAAAAATATATTAATAATAATATTTTTTTTATTATTAATAATAAAAAATATTTATAATTATTGAAAGTTTTATATCAACATTCTCTTTATGCTTCAAATTATTATTCTATGTATATGATAGTTTGTAAGACAATAAATATTTTTAAGTGAAACTTCTTTAGAATACCTAGTTGTGATTTGAAATTCGATGAGACGGAAATGCGACACGAGGAAGAGACAAACACATCTACGAGTATACATACATAGGTATAATAAAAGTGTAACTAAGTCGAATCTGTACTTTAAATATTTTTTTGGAAAATCCTATTGAAATATCAAATAAACATTATTATCGATACAGAGGCTGAATCTATAGTTTTTAGAATTTTTGTCTGTCTGTCTGTCAGTCTTTTACCGCATCGCGGAAAAACCACTGGAGGTATATTGATGAAACTTGGTATGATTGTAGCTGGTTATCCGGGTCAACATATAGGATACTTTTTACCGCGGAAATATATCTGGGAAAAAAATACAAAAACTGCAATGTAAAAGTATACTAATAGTTTTGGTCATCTGAACGCAGGCGGAGCCGTGGGCAATGCTAGTATATATATATATATATATGATTAAGCCGGCGAGAGAATGAGATACAATATATTGCCATGTTGCCATGGTAACCGTTGTTATTGTCTGATAAATGTATATTTATGTCCAATTAAATGTAAAATAACTTTTAAACATTGTAAAGATATAATACAAAAAATAAACCTTATAATTATACTACTTCTGATACTCTATATTCATCTCATTCTCTCGTAGGTTATTTTTCTGAAGTTCCACTTCTACCATGTGTGAATTACACACACGCACTTTTTTCATACCTTTAAGTCTGTTCCCAAATAACCTCCTGGTCAATATAAGTCACCTCGTGCACGTCCCATTGGTTGGCGAGACTCACCTCCTCACGGTAAGCCTTCAGCATCAATATGGCGTAAACCATATCTAAAAATAAAAAGAATATTTATAAAACAAACGAAAAGGCCGATATTTAACTTCAAAATTTATAACATTTTTAATCAGTTATAGTATTCGATTTAGTTTAAAGGTAGTTTTAGTATAAATTCGATAATAATCTTCGGATCAATAATATAATAATACAGTGATACGAGATGGAGCTTATTTTAGCACTATATTGGAAGATGTCATTCCTCTGATATGTAGGTACCTAATTTTATAAAAGCTTGTAAAATAGAAGCTTTTATAAATTTTGTACATTTCTTTTATACTTAAAAATATTATTTGTGTTTATTTATTATATTTACAGAATAGTTCTCACCATGCAATTCGAAGTACCTAGCTTCAATCAGAAGAAGGTCAAGGTATGCGAAATCGTAGGGTACGAGTAATTTTTGGTTGCGTAAGAAATTCAGAATGTGACGGAACATCTCTCCGTCCCTGTCAATGAAATAGTGCTGCTTGAGGGTGTCCAGCACAATAGGGATGTCTCCAGTGAACATCTTTCCCAGTTTGGAATCCGGGTATCTGAAATACATAAAAATATAATCATATATTTGTATGAATTTAGCCATTTTTTTTAATTTACCGATAATTATAGTTTAAGATAAAGCTAAAAACAATAATTTAGTCTGCAAGTTTAAATCGGATAAAGAAAAATTAAAATACAACTGAAAATAAAATACGCGAAATAAATATATCCAAATTGGCAACCCCTTTTTAATGTCGGTCAGTCTTATATGTATATATAAAAACATTGTTTTAATTTTTAAAATAAAAATTTAAAATAGTAATAACCAAAAATTATGCTTTTAAGTTTTAATATTGAAAAATCAAATTCTTGTATGGTTATTTTAATAAAATTCGGAATATAAAAGTATTGGCACATGGAAATATCTAATCATAACGATATAAGTCGCTATGTATGATACAAAGCATGTGCTACACATTCATGAAAGCTCTCCAATAAATATATTACTCCACTTTGCTTCCCCATCGTAAATCGGCTTTGAAGATTAAAGTCGTTAGCTCTAGAAAGCACAGACTAAAAAGCTTTAGAGTACTGCAACGTCTAAATCTATGCTCTTGAAATGACTTAATATTACAATTTGTTTTATCCAAGTGTGAGATATTATATCAGACCAACTAATTTTGACCAACTATTGTTGTTATTGTACTAGTTTTAATAGGAATGTTAACCAATATAAATCTTTGTATTAACATTGTGCTTAGATTCAATGTTATTGTATACATATACTATCGACTCACCCTTGCTTCGCTCGGGTTCGTCCCTAGCTTGATTCTCCATTTTCATCCACTTAAGGGATGATTTCTGGGACAAAAAGTATCTTATGTCCTTGCCAGGGTCTTAAACTATCTTCTTACCAAAACAAAACTTAATGAATCGTGAATCACTCCATCTATGGGCGAAAACCGTGTGAAAATCCGTTCGGTAGTTGTTGAGTTTATCGCGTTCATACAGACGTCTGTCTGACAGACAGCAGACAGCCGGGGGACTTTTTTTCTTTGTAATTAAAAGCAGTTATTATACATTTTGAAAACCTATATACATAAAACAAAGTCGGGTTAGTTACACCGTTTATAACTCAAGAACAGCTGGACCGATTTTTATGATCTTTAATTTGTTGTATTGTTCTGCGTCCCGAATAGCAGAATAACTACTAAAATATCGGAAAAATTCACGAAACAAAAAATTTAAATCGTTCGTAGAGCTGCACCCGAACAAAACGAGGGTAACTCGCTACCTAATTTTAAAAAGATTATAAATTAAAAATTTAAAAACCCGCTACGTAAATTTATTGTCATTTAAGGATTACACTGGCACGCACGAAGCACTTAATCGAGTAATCAAATCATATGCCAAAATGCCTTACATCATTTTGGAAAAGAGCTGATACTCTTACTTTGCTGGACCGATATTAACCAATCATAGCTAAGAACAACCGCAAGGAAACTGGCTTTCAAATACAAATTTCGAAATTTCAAATCGCGTCGAAATCGGTCCATCCGTTTGAGAGCTACGATGCCACAGCATATATAAACCTCCTCTATATAACACCCCTCTTTTTGCGTGGGGGGTTAAAAATATTAACAATTGACATATTAAAGAATTAAATCTATAGTCTGATTTTTAATTCGGCGGAATTCTGACATTTCAGAAATGTTGTCAGCTTTGAAACATTGTCACTAAAAACGGAAAGCATTTTAGCAAAACAAAAAATAAACCTTTCTTGAATTTAAGGTTTCAATTAGAAAAACTGAGACTTAAAAAATTATTGATAACTCTAAAATGGTGATTATTTTTTTATTATCATATTATCGAAGTTAGAATATTGATTAAGAAAATTATTTTTCTATTACAGAAATCCCTGTTCAATAATACATAGATTGCAAGCCTTTTTTTAGGAAAACCCCTTTGTTTGTAAAATCTTTGTAATTGGCAAAAAGAATTGGAAAGTCCCAAAAAGTCAGGTCCACAACGATCGTTCACGATTTTTTATTATTGTTTTTGGCAAGAATGCATAAACCATAATATTATAAAAGAAAAGGATAAAATGTGCCCTCTTAATGATCTGATGGATAGTGTGAGTGATTTTTTTATAATCCGAGTGGATGATGACGACAAGGATGATATAAGTAATAATGATTAGTAAATACTTTCATTTCTTATATTTTAAAGTAAAAAAAATACATCTATATCGAGCCGTGGTAGCTTCCTAACGGATTTCCGGACGTCCGTGTAAATACTGACACATCTATACTTTAAATAAGAAAAAAAATTGACGATCCTAAAGCTAAAGTCTATTTGAATGAAATATATTTTTTTGATTTGAATTGATATTTAGTTAAAGGTAAAATTTTGTTAAAATACACAAATTACAGGAATCGACATAGTAAGTAAGCTGTGTTTGTTCCATGGCTATATACAACTGGCGAGATGTATATTTTCGTGCCCTCGAGGGGGCTGATTAAAAGAGCGGCATAGCAGCGCCGCGGGACACACAGTATAATATGGCCGGCAGCGTTGCCAGTGGCTCACGGCTCGACACAGATAAAACAAGCTTATTTACAACCAACCTACATGCTACACACAAAACGAGGCAGTTAAAAATAAAATTCATTCTTATTATATATTGGTATTTTCTGCAATACTTTCTTTTAGATATACGCGCATATTTGATAGAAAAATAAAATTATTTATTTGGATATTTTCGCAGATTTATATTGATTTTTGGTTCCAGGTGTTTTAACGGACCGCCGGAGACTGGTAGTAATTGTTTTTTTTATAACTTTTATTTTTATAGTATATATAATATTTAGTTTTATAGCTTGTGTTATTTAAAATCCCATACCTTTATTAAAATTTTTGGCTACGAATTTTAAATTTCTGGCAGATAAATGTAGCTTAAAACTAACATTTGTAATAAAAATAAAAAAAATACTATAACAACGTATTAAAATTAATTTTTTTTTATTCTAAGATTAATCGTTAGTGGCCGAAGAATATAAATCGAAATAAATTAAATTTAAATCACTAATAATATTTAACAGCTCCAATGTAATGTGAACAATCGTGTTTTGTAAAACCCCTGATTCTTAAGTCGTATTCGTAGCCTCGGGTCTAACTTGAGGCTACGAAATTCTAAGCCCGGAATAGTAACTCCACGCCCTCTGCTACGAAGTCTTATATTATACTAGCATTGCCCGCGGCCGCGTTCAGATGACCAAAAGCCAAATTCTTAGGTTTTATATATTAGTATACTCTTACATTGCAGTTTTTGTTTTTTTTCTCAGAAATGAGATACTTTCCCGCGGTAAAGAGTATCCTATATGTTGACCCGGATAACTAGCTATCACCATACCAAATTTCATGAAAATCCCTCGAGTGGTTTTTCTGTGATGTGGTAACAGACAGACAGACAAACAGACAAAAATTCTAAAAACTAGATTCGGACTCTGTATCGGTAATAATGTTTATTTCAATAAGATTTTCCAAAAAATATTTAATGTAAAGATTCGGCTTAGTTACAATTTTATTATGTGTATAGATGATGTATGTTCCACTACGAGACTAAAAGTAATAAAACATTTTTTTTTTCATACTATTATTATTATAAAAAACTAGCAGAATCCGCGGCTACGCCCGCGTTTAATCTACAAAAAACCTCTTTGTCTTTATGTTATACAATGTTTTGTATTTATATTATATACTGCGACTCACTCTCACTTCGCTCCGGCTCTTCGCTATGTATTTTTATAATATTGTTCATTCAATAATACTAAACTCGCGATTAAGAAATGCGGGGTGGGTGTAGGAGGGTAAAAAATAGTTTACGACCTATTCTCATACCTACCAAATATATAAAAAAATCATTAAAATCGATCGAGCTGTTCCGGAGAAGTGCGACCACAAACACCGTGATACTAGATTTATTATTATATAAGAGATGTACAAATACTTGACTGGTATTAATATTTTTGCAACTACTTATTTTGATGAAATAAAGTGAATTCTTTTGAGGTATAGGCTGAACCTAGTACAAATGCTAATGCGGTTATGCAAAAAACTATTAATGAAATAATTTTAAAATAAGATACGTTTTATGCCATATAATATGTACAATGTACACTTAACATACAATTGTGATGATGATGTTCTCCTGACCGATTCCGGCCACGGCGGCCAATCTCGTTGAGACTAGCCAACTGCGCAGGAGATATTATAGTGCTCAAGTGTACGCGCAGCCACAAGTGCACTCTCTATTCCTGTCACTCTCATACTCTGGTGGGACGACCACTCGAAACTACCAGTGAGAGTTAATGCGCAGGACTGATGGCTTTACGTGCTCTCCGAGGCACAATCGCCAACTTCCCAACTCCGGGCTGTTACTGAGGCTTACTATACAGAAAGACTTAATAACTGAACTTTGCCCGACCCGGGACTCGAACCCAGGACCTCCGGGTGTGCAGCCGTACATGCTAGCCACTACACCACCGAGGTAGTTAAACAAATACAATTGTAATACTTTATTGAAGTGAAACTTCTTCGCACGCATGATAGTAATATTTCAAGTTCGCGTCACAAGAAATCGTCACGAAAACTCGTCATGGTTGCCATAGTATATATAATATAGTGTTATTGTCTGAAAACTGATATAAATATATGATATTCTTCCGTTGCTATCTTCAAAGATTACTATTTTTACTAATTTGTTTTCAAATATGCGAAATATTTATAACTAGAGCTCACCCCCGCTTCGCTCGGGTCGTCCCTAGGTTGCTTCACCATACAAACTCTCACTCCCATTTTCACCCCCTTAAGGGATGATTTCCGGGATAAGTACCCGAATATTTTATGGCCAACCACTAGATTTTTATTTTTATTATTTTTCCACTTCAGAAAACTTCTTATTAGTAACAGCTATACCTACTTCTTTATTCTTACTTAATTGCTGGATCAGTCACTTTAAGGTAATAACTAATAATATGCCAATAATACGTTATGGGTATGTACAATGTACATATATTATATACGTATTATGCCATTATAAATTAAAAATTTGAAAAACCCGCTATGCAAATTAATTGTCATATAACGATTACTCAGGCACGCGTGAAGCACTTAATCGAGTAATCATACGCCAAAATGCCTTACATCATTTTGGAAATGAGCTGATACTCGTACACTTCTGGGCCGATATTAACCAAACATAGCTAAGAACTACCGCAAGGAAACTGGCTTTCAAATTAAAAAAACCGCTTAGGAATCGGTCCATCCGTTTGATAGCTACGATGTCACAGACCGACACACACACACAGACAGACACGACAAACAGACAGACAGACATCGACGTTAAACTTATAACACCCCTCTTTTTGCGTCGGGGGTTAAAAACATAATATGCCATGGGTATATACGGACGTAGAAGCTTACAGTCTTCTGCCGATAAACTACATACAACGATATGACAATACATGGATATTATGTAATCACATCGATTCCTTTCCCTTTTGCTGAATGAAAGAATAAAATTACTGAATGAATGGGCTTGCCCTTCCTTCACTCTAGTGCAACCGTACGTGCCTAATAGATCTAAATATAACTGAATCCATTCAGTCTTGACGTTAAGGAGTACAAAGCATGTAGGCTTAAAAATTCGCATTTATATTAGTAATCCGATATGAATTTACTTACACAGTGAGTGTCTCCAGAGATGAAGTGTAAATTACTCCACCCACGTCGATGTGCACGGGGGCTTGCAACGCGGTCGGCATAGCGACCCGGGGTATAGCAAACGTTGGTTTTCTCTCGTAGAATGAAGGACCGCTTGGGGTCCAGGTGGGCCTTTGCGAATGATCCATAGTCACGTAGCGGTACAAAGCTGAAATGTAAGAGAACATTCTATTTGGAAATAAGACAGTCTTTTGATTTTCAGTGCGAAAAGAAATGATAATGTTGATGAGATACTCGTAGTGATTAAATAAAATTTAAATATAAATGTAAAACAATAAAGGCATACAACTGATAAAACAAATAATTATAATCACAATGAAAGTAAAATTAATTATGCATTTTATTTGACTGAAGTAAGAACTTTAATGGCAATATTATGGCATGGTGGGTAACAGTCTCAAACGAGCTTTATTATTTTACTAAGAAGTTCCAACATCTTATTAACTACAACTAAGATATAGTTTACCACAGTAAATTGGAATAAAATATTTTTCATTTTTGTCATTGACAGTATAATTCTTCTGTAGGTACCTATATATTAACTTTAAATTGCACAAATATGTCGCCTGTTAGTATGTACATATGTACATATGTCGATCAACACAAAGAGAAAGTTCAACAAGTAGCAGTTTGAAATTTAATTGGCAAAAAACATTAAACGTGATGCTGAGTAATTAAACATTTTCCAGAATACAGATAGTATTCATACACAAATAAACACATTACACATCGATGATTTTTATTTTACCTTTATATTAAATTTGGTCTCTGTATAATTAAATAAAAAATGTCTTTTGTAAAACAGCATATACTCGTATATTTTTAATATGGAATATGTTATATAATTTTTAATATTAAAGAAGGTTTTTACTAATAAGTAAGTGATCAAATTGAAACTAGGTATAGGAAAAGTATGTTAAAGTAGCCATGCATATTATAAGAGTTGATACTAAATCAATAAATTTCATTTCAATTCATCTAGCTACCTTTACTTGCATGTATAGCAGGTAGTATAGTAGGTACGTAGGTATATGCCACACTAATACGAAGAGGTAGAGTATGAAAGTTTGTAAGTTTAGATGTAGGGAGTAATCTCTAAAACTACTTCAGATCAATTGATTCTAAAAACTCTTTCTCTAAAAAGAATATACTTCAGCGCTGAGCGCCATTGGCCATTTTTATAGCGGTAAAATATGTTTACTGTCAGAAATCGTAATAAATTAAATTAATGAAGTTTATTTGCTCATATTAATCAAACTAACTACATAGAACTACCCATGACATATTTTCCAATATTAATCAGTAAAAGATAGTGTTTGATAATTTGTTAATTTTTAATTAATAAATCTGAATATTTATAATTTTAAAATTATTTCAACTCGTAAATCTAATAACTTATAGCAGCCATTTTGTTAAGCTCAATAGGTGTTCTGACATTCAAAAATAATCTAACACTAAAATAAATCCAAAATAATATTTTCAAAATAAAGATGATGGTGCAATGGTGAATAATGATTTAAATAAATTCAGATGAAGTACCTGTTATCTGACGAAAGTGTCGCGGTGCAGATGAGATCTGCAACAGATAAAATTAAAGTTAAAAATCATTAAAGTTTTCACCTTCGGCTATACACGAGTGAGCGGTTCATTTAGCTTGTAGCCACTAATAGGACTAGGCAGTATGACGAGTTTTATTGAAGCCGAAATATATAAACTCGAAAAATGCGTGCGAATAGGTATACAGACTAACAACAGAATCACGGGATACATACTCGTGGATACAACCAGAATAAATGGTTATAAATAATCATAAACGAATTTAAAAGCTGTTATTATTCTACTGCTATTAATGCGAAATTTTGTATAAATATGTATGTATGCTTGTTTGTTACTCCTTTGCGCTGAAATGGTTTGATGGATTTGGATGGAATATTACAGACTAACATTGCCCGCGGGTCCGCTAGCGTTCAGATGACCAAAAACCAAATTCTGTCAATCAGCTGGTTATCCAAATAAAGAGGTTTCAAAGCTTCAGAGTTTATCCTCATCTCTACCGTTTTCTTAGCATTTATTTGCAAATCAATAACAGATTCAGAACCAAATCGTCTGCATAGTCAAGATATTCAAGTTACCAACTACTCCATGGTATACCTCTCGGGTTGAATGGTATACTACATAACAATGGCAACGGGAGATATCCCTGCATAATCCCAGACGTTATTTCAAGAGCGTGACACAGTGTCCCATCATGAACAAGAGCTACCGGTGTATAGGTCGCGAATAATGCTTACTATTTTAGCAGGAACTCCTGGACACCCCAGCAGATTTGATCACAAAGCCAACCATTCCACAGTGTCGAATGCTTCTCTTAAAAAGTGGGTAGAGTACCTCGGCCGACATATACGGATTTGCCCTTAGCATTTTCGCGCTAATTCCCGGAGATTTGCCATTTTTAAGTCCCTTTATTGCTGTGCTAATTTTCTCCAAACTTAGCTATTGGGATGTCAAGCACGGGATTGGCATCATCTAATGGTTCTTTCCCCGGTAAAGATTTATATCGCGTTAAGAGCTTTTGGAAATGTTCGTGCCATCTTGCAAGTAGCTCTTCAGAGGTACATAGCAGATTTCCATCTTTATCTTTAAGTGGTATCCTGGCATTAAGTTTCATTGAGTTAGTCTAGTGGCATTGTACAACTCTTGACTATTAATTAAAAAAAATTAAAGGCACTTAAGGACGCATCCGAGAGAAGCGAGAATTCTTCTCGCTAGGATTGAAATAAAAACCTTGCTGAGTATATAAGAATATTCGCGTCAAACATTTATTAATTCTAGTTAAACGAAATAGAATCTACAATATCCTAGGAATTGTAAGACAGATTCAAAGCAATGTCTTAGGGCATCCGGTGACAAACGACAAGTCAAATTAATTGTAAAATAAAATGGAGAATTTACATTTCACAAGATCATTTAACAAGATCTTTATAGCTAGCGTTTTTTGTTATGTGCTTTAGTAAATCTGAGAACGAGTATCTCCATGACAGTGCAAGTATTCATTACACGCATATAACCAGATAGTACCGGTGGCGACAAACATGAGATTAATAATTATTAAAATGCAATTTTCCATCGAGTGGGTAAAAATTACTGTAATTATGTGGCCAGGATTGCTACTGTATTTTGGACGTATGAGCGCTGGAAGCTAGAGGCGCGACACAACCACTCTGATGTCGGGTTTCATTATAAATATGCCTCAGGCCGTTTGCCTACTTCTCTGAAACCAAACGCCAAGTATGGAAGCAACGCAATAAATTTGGATTTGCACAGAACTGGACAATTTTGGAAAAAATCGTAAGTAAATTTTATTTATTAGGTACCTAAGAGGTCACCGGACAGACTTTGTTCGGTTCAAACAATAAAGTTATTTAATCTGTAAACCATTGTTGAGTTAGTAAAAAGGTTCTATAGAAAATAACATTTTTAGATTTCCTGGAATATTTCATTTTTTAGGCAACTTTTTTAACTTTTCTCTCTAAAAAGCTCAATTGGATTATCTATGAACATTTAAAAAACGTCGAGACGAGAACGACCGGTCGCTCTCAAATGATACTCTTACTACCGAACAGCATATCATATTTATTTATATGGATTAACAATACATTTTTTATGCTAAATTCGCATTTTATACGAATACATTACATTACCCTTATTAAAAATAAATTAATATTTAAATAAAAACATTTTTAAAAACAAGCTTTTATAACATATAAATTTTATAGTTTAATAAATGCGTTTGATTTAATTTAAAGTTTCTTTTTGTTATTTTTTTTAAGTATTTATTCGTATTCTTCTCAGCAAACCCTTTCATTTGATATCCATATTATGGGGGTGCATAATAAAAACATAGTCCGCCATCGTTGGGACCTCTAACCATATATTGTCATCTTAACTAAACGTATATGCAAAATTTCACCTAAATCGGTTGAGGATAACTGTTTTAAAATTCTGTTGCAAGATTTGAACAGAACTAACATACATCCAAACATTACAAGTTAAATAAAGGCTTGTAAAACATAGCAGAATCGAGTAACTATATACGGATTCGTAGCTTTTAGTCGGTAAAAAATGGGCTTTCCGTGTCTGTTTATTTTTTATAACCTAATATTGATATGAATTCTCAATCATATTCCGTTTCATAAAAGCACAAACTTCAGACACGTGTGTTGCACACAAACTGTCTATCCAATAAATAAAACATAAATATACATAAAAAAGATTAACGTAACTACTAATAATAAGATCGTATTAGTCAAACTAGAAATTAATTTCCATATAAGAATGAGCTAGTGCATAATTTGAATTTAGTATATTTCTATCCTTAAGGCTTTTTACATATAATGCTGCAATGTTTTTGTATGGCGAGTCCTCAAGGCAGTGGGAGTTGGGCGTTTTTTTGAATAAAAGGCATGCGCCCGCGGCGACCCGGTCCGTGCTAGCCTCGCGGGTGTCGCCGTAGCCTTAGGCCAATGTCGTATTATTTTGAATATATCCACGGATGTATGCTTATAAAACTTGAGATTATATTTTATTTGTTAAGTGAAGTATAGGGAATGAGAAATCACAAACTATTTAAAAAATTAAATTCGTAAGGTAAATATTTTTGTTTCTATTTTTAATATTGTAATGATATCTATTATTTCAAAAATTAGATTCAGTTTTATGACAATTAATATTTTTTTATTGTTTATAATTCACACTAGGTATTGCATGTTATAGAATTACCATATCTAGTTTGTTTATATGAGATCTGCGTTGTAATGAAATTATTTCATTGGTTCAAATACTTTTATATATTTAGAAAACTGAAGACTTTGTTCTCATTATATGTATATTTACAAGCACATGATAAGTGATACTAAGTATTAATGGCCAAAACACGATTAAATAACTCCTCTTACTAAAAAGAAAAACATTTACAGCAGGCAATAGCTCTGAAAATTCTCCAAAACACTGTACCTTGTGACTCTAACTCTATCTCGTAGCTATATATGTCTATACTGACATAAATGATAACTATAACAAATAATTATCATTTGAAATTCAATTCTCAATGTCTAAAACCCACAAATGAAAATAAAGTTTTCTAATGAAATCTTTAATCGTTCTTCGATACAATCAATAAATATTATTTTCGTGACATCTATTAAAAGCGCGAGTAAAACCGAATCAGATAACTAGTTTGCTTATTAAAACTAATATTTCCTACACAAATCCACTCCAATAATAATCTTGTTATTCACTTGACTGAGCTCGTAAAACTCAACGACGTGGAATAAACTTCCCTAGATAGGACATAGACGTAACAGCATTAATTTCCAAGGTTTAACATATGCATTTGTTATTAATTCTTGAATGCCTCAATAGTTATCTAATAGTAATAAATCGCCATAATTTTAATAAACGAATTATGTCCCATATAAAATAAGTGCATATTAAAAAGGGCCACTAAGAGGTGTTTATTATAGAAAATGAATATTTTCTGTGAATGATATCTTAAAATTCAACTTTGTTACAACTCTGTTAAAAAAAAGGGTTCCTCACGCTCGTCTCACGTCTTCAAAACAGAACATAATTTATCTATACTAATATTATAAAGAGGTAAAGTCTGTGAGATTGTGTTTGAGAGTTTGTGACGTTGTAGGGGGTAATCTCTGGATCTACTGAACCGATTTAGATGAAATTTGGCAAGAAGATAGTTTAAGACCCTGGGAAGGACATAGCATACTTTTTATCCCGGAACTCATCCCTAAAGGGGGTGAAAATGGGGATGAAATTTTGTACGGGGAAACAAGCTAGGGACGAACCCGAGCGAAGCTGGAGTGAGTCGCTAGTTCTGGATAGTTTGATTATAGATTTTTTTATAAATGTTCGTGACTTGAGGAAAAAGTGTTATGTCCCTCTCCGTGCGACTTTATCTATCTCTTCCTCTCTCTCTCTCTCTCTCTGTAATCTTTTTGTTTTATTTCTATCATTTTTTAATGTAATTAACGCAAAATAAGGAATAAAAACAAAGATTTCTTCAAATATTTTAAGAAAAATATTTAATTATACAAAATTATATATGTATAAAACGCGAAATTATAAATTAGATAAAAATAATCAGTCAATGTAACAAAAAATTTAATAAAATTGTTAGTTATTGAAAAGCTATATTATTTGTCGGGGGTATACTCAGGCCATATGGTATATTTTTTCAAGAAGAAGCTATTTAATTATTAAATTATCATTCATATTTTGTTATCAAAAGTTATAAATTAACGACTCATGCGTATATAAAATTTCCCTTACTCTTTAAAGAAAATAAATAATCTGTACGGCAACATCTAGAATAATAGCATAAGTGATATAAGACGTATATATACGTATAGATGTTAACAATGCTATACTGTTTCACTAGCTTCAAACACCTTGGCGCAATAAGTATTTAAGCTACTTACAATTTCCTCGAACTTATGCATTTCTACTTCGTAGATACAAGATCTTTACACTTAAGTCCTTCATGTATTGTTCTCTTTCATA